TGAGACAAGATACACATGTCATCCCCAAGAGAGATGAAGTATCTTGGATCTCTAGTTTAGGGCAATGGGGAGATCAACAATGATGTCACACATCATATTAGTGCAGGGTGGGTGAAATGGAGGCTCGCTTTGGTAATCATGTGTGATAAGAATGTACCACCAAAACTTAAAGGAAAGCTCTATAGAATGGTGATTAGGCCGACTATGTTATATGGAGCAGAGTGTTGGCCAATTAAGAACTTGCATGTCCTGAAAGATGAAGAGTGACGGAAATGAGGATGTTGACATTGACGTGTGATTACACTTAAGAGAGATAAGATTAAGAATGGAACAACGATATTTGACTATAAACATAATCAGGTAGAGTGCTCAGATCTACGACTTGTATGCTATGTTGCTCAAGACTCGGGTGCGAGTGTTCGATACGGGTTCGGATCCTTCATGATCTAAATTTTAAGATTCTGGGATACGGATCCAGGTATGGATTCGGGTGTGGTGATTTAACAAAAAATAATTCAAATATCCTTAACTAGAGTCATAAAACCTAAATCATGAGATATTATGTGAGAAATTTGAGGAGAATCCTAGAAGGAGATTAAAAGAAAGGGAGTATTGTCAGTTCATATTTTATAATGCAGTGAGAAAACATTTACAAACAAATCAGTATGACTTAAATAGCTACATATTTCCTCGTACTATCAAGGTGCTTGTCATATCTCCTATAAGATGCAGTAGGGAGAGTTATCTTTGCCTTCTCTTTTCTTGTACACACATTAACTTACCAGTCATTCTTGTCTTCTCTTTTCCTTTGTCTTCCTTACAGGTGTATACAAATCTTGAAGGCAACAGATCTCATGTTGTAAATACAGCATGGGCTATGCTGACTCTAATTGCTGCTGGACAGGTACTAATAAAGTTTTGACCCGTACATGATTGTCAGAACTGTAAGTAACAATAAATAGTTAAAATATATCCGTTTCAATTGAACAAAGGAATAGATGTTCTTTTTTTTTTAAACTGGTAATGTTGACAAAGAAATAGATGTTCTTCATTTTGAAATTCACATAGGAAAATCAAAAAACTAGTTTGAAACCTTAATTTGTTGCTTTCTCCTGCCGATGCCCTGTGTAATTTTCTGGAGAGATAAAGACCTCATGACAATTGCTATGTACCTTCATGGATGAAAATTGAAAGATGGAGGGACCAAGCTGTTGTTGACTATCTTATATCCTCAGAAAAATGTTCTGGAGCCAATAGTGACTGAGACTTCCTATGATATCGATACATTGATTAGTGTGCATGGTTTGGATCATAAAGGCAGACAAAACTAACCATGAGTATTGAAGATAAATAGTGTTGGAGTTTTGGTATACTGGTTTTGTTCAGTTTATCAGTTTTAGAAAATTAAACAAAATTTTGTTTGAAAACTAGTACTAATATTGAAGAAAAAGCTCAAAAATACAAGAAATGGTAAAAATACTAGAAACAAATAAACCTACAGTAATGCAAATAAGAATTAAGAGCATACCTTTAATTGAAGAGGCTCTAACAATTATTCCACTCATCAAACCAAATATGATAATTATAATAACATGTATAAGATACGAATTCCTTCAACCACGGAAAACATTATAGCAAAAAGAACCCCATTAGAGACTAATGTTTTCTCATCAGTAAAGACCTAAGAGGAGAAATTGAAACATAAATACTCTAATTATAGGAAATTAAGAAAGCTTGTAGGAACATATATGACCAATAATCAGTTTGTTTTAGTTTTCTATGATACTTAATTGTTAAAACCAAAATAGTCAGTTTCCCACTTTTTAAGACCAACCCAACCGAAATGATTTCTACAATCATGGGTCTCGTTCAGTCGATTTTCTTCAAATGCTTCCCCCTCTGCTAAAGTTGTCATTCCTCTGAAATAATGCTGATAGTTTACCCTTCTCTCTTCTCCCTCTTTCTTTCTAAGGGGAGGAAGGATGGTGGGGTGGGGAGATCATTAGTGAACTGGCGGTGATGCCAGAAGATCACTTGGTCATAGTCATTTCTTGAGGCTTCTAATGATGTGCTTTTATAAGGGTAATTTTGTATTTAGATAACCATCATTTATTCCGTCTCTTGACAATTCTTTAGTGTTAAATTGTTCTTTTTAACGAGATTTTAGTGAAGACCTTTGTGAAGCATTTGGCATACTCAAGTAGTTGATTTACATGGTTATTCCTAATTTGAAAATTTTAGACGTAGAAATCTTCAGGCAATAAATTGGTGTCATCAGTACATCCCAACATCTTGGATCTGCTCACACCTCTCAGCTGAATATTTTGTATACCTTCATAATTATTGGGTCTTCTGCTTTGTGATAATGACCGAGGGTTGTCATGCCTTTATGCACAACACATCCTTGTAGATTATTGAGATGTGGAACTATATATGCAAATCAGCCACTTTTTTCTGCTGAAGTTTACTTTTTACCCCTTAACAATTGCAGGCTGAGAGAAATCCTACACCATTACACTCTGCAGCAAAAGAATTAATAAATGCTCAGCAAGAAAATGGAGATTACCCTCAGCAGGTAACTTTGTAGCCTCTAAGCTTTGTAGCTTAAAATTGCCTGTTATGGTATAAGAACCAGTGCCTGGTTGGTATTTTAAAAAACTGAAGAGTGTAGCCTCTTTTTACTTTTGGACTTTCAAGTTAAAAGGTTGCCTAAGCTCTTGTTGTTTTAGTTTTGATTTGGTTTTAAATCTGGCTGTGCCTCCTGGATAGAATTTGGGGCTTAACTTGAATTAACAGCTGCATACCATTTTGGGAAAGGAAGCATGTAAATATAAACTACGTTGTTCAACAGAATCTGGTAAGTGTTGGGTATCTTTCGTCCGGGGGAGGGGAAGAAGAGAGCTTGAGAGAGAGATCAGGAGAACTGGGTAGTACAATCTGCATGGGAGAGTAAGCTTATAGGAGTATTGGCATTGGAGAAAAAATTGGTAAAGGCTCGTTCAATGAATAAGGTCTAAATCTACATATTGCTTATCGTCTCGTTAGCTAGGCAAAACTTCTATTCAAGTATAACAGCTGGGGTAAGAAAATGGTGTTTTGGTTAACGTAGGATAATATTTGCACCTATCACATTGTCATTCCTTAGTACCGGCAGTTTTAAATTAACATGGTTTTCATTGTTTCATGATTTTAGGGGTTTAATATGTTTTTCCTCTTTTATACTGTTTTCAATGTGGTTTATTGTGTTTAGTGAGGATAAAGTATTTAAAGTGGAACACCTAAATTTTGATGGTTGAAATCCTAATTTACATTTCTGAGGCGGCAATAGATTCAGTAAACTGGTAGTGAAGCTGTTTTCATATCCAAATTGTATATATATGTACATACATGGTTATGTTTGTTGCATGCAGAACTTAATAATCTTATTTTTTTTAACCTCAATTGACCCAATATGATTAATCGAAGGGCGAATGTCCAGTCACTATGATTTGCATGTTTCTTTCACAGCCAACCAAATGAGCTACAAAGATTCGCGTGTTTCCTACTTATTGTTTTGAAAACCGATTCAGGCATTCTAATACGGATTGTTTTTTGTATTTGTCAGGAGATCAGCGGGGTCTTCAATAGGAACTGCATGATATCATATTCTGCATATAGGAACATTTTCCCAATCTGGGCATTGGGAGAATATCGTTCTCGTGTACTCAAAGCTAATTGAGTTGCAGTTCCAGATGATACTTCAAGTCTTGACTCTTTTCTTTTCAAAGCTAGTAAACAAAAGATAGTTCTGACATTCATCTTATATATATGAATAAGACAACAAATAAACCATCAAATATTTCTTCTCTTTTCATTCAACTAAATCACAACCAGACTTAAGAGTGTCACAATAATACAAGGTTTTCAATAAAATAGTTCACCATGATAAGTTGCAGACAAGAACAGCTTCAGTTTATATCAAACAGTAAGCAGAAATCTTGTCCTTGAAGAAGAAACGAGGGGAAAAGGGCGGGTGAAATCGTTTCAAATGGAAATGGAGAAATGAGGGGAAAAATTAGGGATTAGGAATCTTATTATTAGTCTACGTGGAAATGGATGAAATTGTGGTGATTACGTGTCATCCATGTGGTGTTCACATAGCACTTAACACACTTATGTTAATTAGAAGGGTATGTTTGACCCAGTAGTATGACATGAATGGTAGTTTTGAGTCGGAATATAGTTTAAAGGTAAATGTGAGTTATTTCAAATGATTTAGGGATATTTTTGAGCCTTTTCCGTTATTGAAATACTACTGCCTATTTGAAAGTGTAGGGATAAATCTAAAATTAACTTCAAATTCTCCGGTCTACTGACGTTTGGATCATTAAATATTTTGAGGAACAAGTAAATTGAAAATCATTTGACTTAAATTTCTTTTTTTTATCAATATATTAATGTTCTCAATATCTTTGATTTTTTTCGGAGTTTCCACCCACAAATAAATAATGTTAAGATTTTCTTAATTATATTCGTGCTTCAGCTCACACAAATAAATTGCCTAATGAAACAATAATTATGAAGAAATCAACATGTAATTTGAGAAAATGGAGAAGTCTACCGACAAAACTAAGATTGAAAAATTACAGGATTTAAGTTGGAATTGTCAAAACATAAACTTTAGGTCCAAGGATCTAAAGTTCAAACAATTCCAACTTCAAGTTTACTTCTGTTCCCTTGTTGTATGCATATGTTGAGACTCACTGTTATGCTTTCGCTATTATTAATGTTAGATTTTGCTGGATCTACTCGTGCATTTCCAGAACTAGACATTCAGTAGTCATACAAGGAACAAACACATATATGAAATGCATTATTTTTAAAGATACAAGCTTTGAAAATGTTGCACATTTCACATATAGATGTGACGATAGAGCCAGAGAATAGTAGCCTAACACTCATGACCAAAAACGAAATACCGTCAACCTATCATGCATATCTAAATTAAGTTCATCTCCAACTGATTTGCAAAGAGTATTTGCATCTTTAAACACCTGAGTATAAGATAATGTCGGATTCAATTCAGTATCAACCAGGCTTTCTCAGCAAGTATCGACTTCAGAACTTTCAAATGTCTTACACTAAGAGGAGATTCTCAACCTGTTTAATAGAACTGTAAAATCACTCCAAACTGGAGGGAACATCGCAACAAATACATAGATACAATAATCACAAGCAATGTCACCATGTTGTTGTTGTCAAGCTTTGGGTTAAAAGGTGTTTGTACATCAAAAGAACCAACCTTTTTGCTGATAAAGTAGCACAATCAACTTTGTCATCTGTCCTCATGTATGTTTTGTCATGTCATAAATTAATGGAGCATGTTCTCACCATTAGATTTAAGCTTCCTTCCTAGCTCTTAGTCCTCAACCTACTGATGCACATGTTAAATAAAACCTACTCGAGTTGAAGGTTTGCTTAAGAAGCTCGACTTACAAGCATTGTGAGAACTCATAACCTCCATATAACTATCAACATGTGCAGTCTCTGATTGCTTTAACATGGTCATATCATTTACAGAATTCCCCCCATTGGCAAAATGTGAGTACTGAGCATTCTTGACAATTCTATGTTGATTCAACGAGTAGTCATCTGACCTGGGAGGAGACCAATCATTTTCCGCTGAAACATTTGGGAAAAGTAGTTACTATATCAAGAAACGAAAAGTAAAGATGTACAGCAAGAAAAAGTGCAAATTTCTATGTAAACTAAAGAGTTAACTAATTCTAAAATTTTCTAATACCCTTCGTTTTTCTTGGAGACTAAAAGATGCATTATATTATAGTTTTATATATGGTACAAAAACCTTCGTGGAGATATTGCACACTTCCTCATGGAAGTAAGTTCTGGATGTGTTATATCCCTAGAAACATACCTTTCATGTACCTCCTGATCTCATCTGGCTGCATGGATTTCGCTCCTTTCACTGTTCTGTTGAGCGATTCTGCCATTGCCCTTTTAACTTCAGGCGGCACATTGGGACAACCTTTTGAGGGCCCTTTTGGATCACCTCCAGCCAAATGTGCCTTAAGATGTGTAATTCCTCCAGAAGAAGATATGAAACCACAATACTTGCAAACTGCTCTCTGCCTTTTTGCATCAACTGGTGTAGCATAATCCCAGGCAGCATCAAGTGGCCTTCCCCTTCTAACTGATTTTTTGGATGCAGGTGCTGCTAATTTAGAGGAGAAGGTACAAACAATAGGACCCTGAATTAAATCTTAATTGAGAGAGGGGGTATTTAGAAAAAAGTTCAAACGGAAGAAAAAGAGAAAGCAGGAACAATCCTGGCACAATAACCTCAACTCTTTTTGGGGTATTGTTTTTAAATAAAGAAAAAAATGGATAATTGTGTGTGATGGAAGCACTACTAAAATTTAAAACACAACAAAACAAATTGTTTCAAACCCGTAATCAAAATTTTAGCAAATACGTGCAGGAAAGGATGCCACTTCCATATGCAGTGTACAAAGGTGGTGGTCAAAATTTCAAGAGGATATTCATGGATGTACGTAAATGTGTAAAAAACGACTCTGTTATTCCCCCCTCTGAGGAAGAGGGAATATAATTAACCAAAATTATGTAATAGCAAAGACAAATAAAATAGCAAGCTGAACTAATAAACAAGCCCAGTAAAAAGAGTGACAGCACTTGTCCATTTTCATGGGATAATCTTTTCCAACTTTCACAAGGAAATGAACTAGTTTTACATTTGATTTTAAAAGGAGGTAGCAAGTTCAAGCCGTGGAAACAATCTCTTGCATAAATGCAAAATAAGGTTGTGTACAATAAGCATGATGTGGCACAGCCCTCTTCGGATCTCGTATAGCAGGAGCGAATCTTCATATGAAAGATTACTAATTTCCATAGCAAATCTTTCCAATGCATTTCCTCTTTTTTCTGACAAAGTATTGATGTGGAAAGAGTTCACCTCTACGAGATGAATGCTGACTGAAATTTTTTCTCCAAAACTATCAAAAACGAGAACATTCTAATAGCCAAAATTGAATGATCCAACTCGCACTCAGAATACTTTGCTTTTCCCTCTTTCTGATATGCATTTTCATCATCTTTTTTAAGTCAAGATGATGATATTTATTAGCGAAAACCTAAATAAACTAAATCGCTTTGCCGAAAGATGGCCACTTTATCCGCAAGATTTTGGAATTTTGTAAAAAAAATTGAGAACATTGTTGGTTCATGGAGGTTTAATCAATTTTTAAATATTTTTTTCAAGTTCCAAAAAGGGGTTTTGGCCAGTTTTCTCTTCCACCCAGAAACTTCAAAAAAATTTCAAGTAAAATGAATGCATGTCCAAACCCAACTTCAACTTCCAAAAACTATTTTTCAAAAGCTTTTTTTTTCAAGTTTCAACCAAATCTATGTCCAAACGCTAGCTTAGAAATTGCGCTAAGCCAATTGAGTTTGCTCGCGTTTACCATCTTTCTTCCATAAAGAAGGAAAAACAACAATGTACTTATCAAACTTCAACGAGGAAGTAGTGCTGTAAGCCATCATCTTTTTGGGTGATCAGACTGGCCAGAGATCATCTGCAAATAGCTTTCAGACTTGGTATAAAGTTTTAGACATACCTAAAGAGGTGTTAGAGCAGCTGGAAAAAATCAGAAGGGGTTTCCTATGGGAAACGAACTACAGCTCCCACAAATTGCACTTGATGAAATGGAGTGAAGTTACACAGCCTGAGTGCAACGGAATTTTAGGGTTCACTAATTTAACCATCAACAATAAGTGCCTGCTCATGAAGTGGCTATGGAGTTATGGCACAGGTGAACAAAGCCTCTGGAAGGGGATGATCAAGGCTAAGCATGGAAGTAAAGACAACTGGAGTACTAATATTACCAATGCCCCTTATGGACTTGGTCCTTGGAAGTTCATCAGCAAACTGGGCCATGATTTCTCTCCAAAGATCCATTTCAAACCTGGGAGTGAAAGCACATCAGTTTCTGGAAGGACAAACAGTCATGCTCTCAAGGATGTTTATCCTAGCATTTTCAACATTGCTGTGGATAAAAATTCCTCAATTTCCCAAAACAGAAGCAATCAGTCCAGGGATATACATCAAAGAAGACCTGTCCAAGACTGGGAAATGGGAAGTTTGATTGAAATGTAAGCAAAAATGGATAGTTGTAACGTTGTTGAAGATCTTTCAGACACCATGCGTTGGGGCAGAAATGGGATATTCTCAGTAAAGGACTGCTACAAAATCAGATGGTTGATTCTTCGCCCTGGAAATTGATATGGAGAACCAAACTTCCTATTGAGGTAATATGCTTCAACTAGATTGCCTTGTATGAAGCTTGTCTAACACAAGACAATCTTAACAGGAAAAGTTTCCAGCTGGTTAACAGATGCTACCTATGCAGAAGGAATCAGGAAACAGTTAGTCATATCTTACTGCACTGCAATGTAGCCACTGATATATAGAGTATGTTCTACAGCATTTTTGGTCTAAGCTGGGTCATGCCACAGAACCTGAGACGGGCACAGTTAAGTTGGGAGTTAATGGAAAGTTGATATGGCCATCAAGAAAATCTGGCTGATGATTCCTGCAGCTACCTTTTGGAGTTTATGGACAGAGAGGAATAGAAGATGTTTTGATGGCCCTTAAACTCCAAATCAGAAAGCTAAATGTTTACTTAATGTTTTTTCGCTGGACAACACTCTCCCCTGCAATAAATATTGATCATTTTCTGGATTTTGCTAGCACTCTTACTTAAGACTAGCACACTGTATAGGAGCCCGGCTAAGTCTAACTACTCTTCTTGTCATTTCAGCTCCTAGTTTCTTTGCCTTTTGTGACTTCGCATCTTGTTGATTCTTCTTTTTAATGAAACTTATTATGACATACCTGGATAGTTCTATCCTAGTGCAAGTGTTCCAGAAAAATATTAAATATGCAACAGCAGTGCAAGTTGTTTGCATAAAATATGGAGTTACATCATTTCTTGCTTTAGTCACTATCTAATTGCTTGAGCTTCTCTACGATTAACAAATCTACAACAAAGTGGATAGAACCAACAGTGCATTTTTCCAATTCCTCCCTTATTTTATAATCGGGGGAAAAGGACAAATATACCCCCGAACTATCGTAAATGGTATGGAGATACCCTCCGACATACTTTTGGAACATTGGCGCCCCTGTCGTCCAAAAACTAAAGCATATATACCCTTCACTCTAACGGAAGACTAAATGGGGACAAGTGGCGCAATCTTATCCATCGATTCGACGTCAGATCGGTGGATAAGATTATGACACGTGTATGTCCGTTAGTATAAAGGGTATATATGCTTTAGTTTTTGGACGGCAGGGGCAACAATGTCCCAAAAGTATAACGGAGGGTATCTGTATACCATTTAAGATAGTTTGGGGATATATTTGTTCTTTTTCTCTTATAATTGTGGTGTCAGGAGCAGCAACTCGACTAATTCAACGAGGTACCTGGTACCTTCCGCTAATAGAGGTCACTTTGTCCACCAAGGCGTGAACAGATAGGATTAAATAAAGTGACGACGACCAGAAATAATGTTTTTGTTTGCCAAAGGAGGGTACAGACTAGTATATACCACATGGACATGATGATGAGGATAGGAGGTGTATTAGAAGAGATTTAAGGTGTAAGGAGAGCCCTAGAACAAAGTCAAGTAGAGAACTACGTAACGGACTAAAGTTGTAAATGAGCTTGCACAAGATCCAACTTCAAATAAGTACATCTCCATGGATATAAACAGTTATGTGGTGCATAACCTGTCATTTTTAAAGTTCTTTAAGACTAGTTTCCAACGCTTCAACCTGTTTATCATTTGGACATTTGTATAAGGAGTTATGGCCTTTTTACTTAAGAGTAGTAGAGCAGCTACGCAACCAAAAAGACCTTCATGGGTCACGTAGGGGGCTGTGTGGGCCACGTAGGCACCTAAGGCCTTTTTAAAGGCTAGTTGGGGCCCATTTCTTCATTTCCTTCCAAGTCCAAAAAATGACCTAGAGAGAGGGAGCTCGTCCAAGACTTGAACACACTCCAAGGTGAGTTTTAATGGTGTTTTGAGTTGGTTTCAACTCCCGAATCTTCATAACAAGATTAAATCTTGGGATTATAGATTCTTGCTTGAACCTTCATTTTTGGTCAAGAACACCATGAAATCCGAAATTCAAGATTTGGCTACCAAGAGGTAAATTCTTCATCTCACACTTGAATATGTTATGGATTTAGTATTTGAAAGGTATAGTGTGGTTGAAAACACCATTTGTACGAGTAATAGCATTAGTTCTTGAAATGGGTATCATTGAGTTACAGTTCTTGAAAGAAGAAATGATTTAAATGGTAGAATTGTAGGTTGGGTGATACAATTGGGCTGAGTAAGAAGAGTTATAAGATTATTCTATATGCATTTTTCTATTTTATAGTCTAGTCTAGAATTACTAAATAAGGGTATAGTATACAAATGAGTCCTTATATGTTTTGCACTTAAAGAGTCCAAGGGATATATAACTTGTAATTGTGGGAGAGAAGATTATCGAATACAGAATTTGCTAGTCTCTTTCCTGTTCTTCTAGGTAGTTTGCTTCTTCTTCCTCTATCTGTCAGTGCCAGCATCATTGGGAGTGAATTGTTGGACACATCATTGATGAAGGAAGTTGTTATATATCTAAAATCGGTTGTATCATTGCCCCCAAGGCCTAGCTCAAGTGGCAAAAGGTGGAGGATTTGTGGCTTAGGTCGCAGGTTCAAGCCCCACACCATGCAAAGCGAAGCCCGGTATTTAAGTGGAGAAGGGTAGAGGGGCGGGCCCATTATCCACCGAGTTTAGAAGGTTGTGATTGGTCCAAAGGGCGGGTCACAGACGGATTTCTCGGTTATCAAAAAAAAAAAAACGGTTGTATCATTTGTTGGCAAGAAAGGTTGTTGGATGAAGAAACATCATAGAAAGAAGGTTGTAATGCTATATGCACAGTAGGTGTTTGATGAATTGTCAATAAGACCCAAACCTGAATGCTTTTTACTAATATTAATCCTACTTGATGTATATTGTTGTAGATTGAAGTCATAATGGTGATTGAACATTGTAGTACTCTTAATAGGACAGAACTGAAGTATGTTTGGCTAAACTCTCTCATAAGAATCATTTTTATAGAAAATCTCCTTTGTCATAAGGACGGAACTGGTTGTGGTTGCTATCAAAAAGTGTGAAGCAGCAGGTATACAATAATATAGAAGGGTCTCTAGTCAATCTACAAACAAGCAAAATACTTCGACAAGCCAAAAGAGGTTAATCTACATAAGCTCTTCACCAACTGCACACACTGTTCAAACTACAAAAGTGCAGTTCCAAGTCATCCAAAATTAAGGTATGAGACAGACAAGAAACAGCGTACTCAGAACGCTTCTGTTTCTCTCATTCTGATAGAAATAAATATCTTTCTGTGGAGCAAAAGACTCCTGTCAAGATACAACTAGTTTTCCATATTAAAGTCTATATAGAATCATCCCTATTTTCAGAAACATACCTTCAAAGTCAGTCCTGATTTCCTGTAGCTGTGGGGCCTTCCCCCCTCTTATAGTTCCTAGTAACCATTCTTTCATCACCCTTTTGACTTCTGGTGGCACATTTGGACAACCCTTTAGTGAGCCCGTCGGATCACCTCCACCCAGATGTGTCTTAAGATAAGTAATGCCTCCAGAGGAAGAGATAAATCCACAATAATTGCAAACTGTCCTCTGCTTCTTTCCATCTACTGGAGTAGCATGTTGCCAAGCGTCATCAAGCGGTCTTCCCTTTCTAGCTGTTTTTGAGGCAGTTGCTGCTTATTCAAAGAAGCAAGAGGAGGATGTCCAAAGAAAAAAAATGGTACTTCAAAGTTCAAACAGATTTGAAGGATGAGTACAAGAAAAATCTTATTCATCCTTGCATTGAGTAAGTACAAGAAGCAAGTTACAAAAGCAAAGAAACTAGTAATTAGGCATGATGGAAGCACTACTAAAGTTTAATATAGACGCTAACAAATTGGTATGTAACCAAACCCCTAGTTGTGAATTTTCCTTTAAATTTTTTATTCAAAAGTAAACTTATATCATCTCATCTCATATTTTCAACACGCCCCTCATGTGTGGGCCTAATTCTTTTCCATAGACGAAACACGTGGAAGTTCTTTTTTGATAATAGGTGGCAGGACACTCGAACTCAGAACCTCTATCTGATATGATATCATGGTGAAGTGTGTAATCATCATATTAAAAGCTTAAGTTGTTACAAAGAGCACATTTTATTCAATATCATTGATTTGCACCAAAGGTGCTAATATACAACAATCATGTAACATATACATAGTACAATAAAAATCCCAAAGGCAAAATAAAATAAAACCATCTATGCTGATAGGGGCATTCTTGTTACACCTGAAAACTAATTTTTTTGAAAAAAAAAGAGGAAATTCTGACTTTGAACCACGGATTTCCAACTTCCTCAAGTAGGAAACCAAATTCATGACAGGGTTACCAATAAATTTAAAAGGGTTAGTACTTTGAAAGATGTTAGTAAAAATTACAACAGGAAAAGGAGAAATATGCCCCCGAACTATCATAAACGGTATCTAAATAACCTCCGTTACACTTTTAGGACACTGATGTCCTTACTGTCTAAGATTTAAAGTGTATATACTCTTTGAACTAACGGAGGGACACGTGTCTTGATCTTAACAACCTACCTAAAATTAAATTAATTTTTATCCACAATTAAAAAACTCACCCGTCTTGCACAATTTAACCAACCCATGACCCAAATTAGAACACTTCTTCTTCCACCTTAATTAAGCGATATGTTCATGGATTTGAAGAAATTAAAAAAGATTTTGTGGGCGGCTGGAACTAATTTTGATGTTTATTTTTGTTTCTTATTCCCGACTATGGATCAATTTCAGGTTGGTCTATGTTTCTTGTATACATATACAAACAATCACAATTTTCTTTCTTCCATGACCATGGGGGGGGGGGGGGGGGGGGGGGGGTGGGAGGGGGGTGATCGTCAATTGAAATGACTATCGTCACTCAATCATATTTTATCTTTCAAAAGTTAACAATTAAGATTGATCATTTTCTAACTCTTCTTTTATTTAAAACTAAAAATAGAATTTCAAGAGGAATAAGGATAAATACTCAATGATTAATTTTTTTTTTAAAATTATGCACATTAAAAATTATTAAAATTAAACATCTTTTTTTGAATTGGCTCAGGTACAACTTTTAAATTTTGCTTTAGGAGTTGTTGCACAGACGTGAACCAACTTATGGGGAGAAGTTAGCTTTGTATGTGGGTTGATTCTAGTCAAGAAAAATATTTAATTTATTAGTCTAATTAGTTCGTAATTAAGGTAATTTCACGAAAATTGCATATATATATAAATTAATTAATTAATAGAAGTTATGAGGATTGAGGATGAAGATGAATCTTTAATAACAAAAAATAAGATAAATGAATTCCTGATTAAAGAAATGTGTCGTATTACTCTTCTTTTGTCTAACTTTTGTATGAAGAGAACAAAGAGTGAAAGACGGTGCACCCACCACCACTTCGTTAGTGGTATTTAGTACATTGCCACGAACAAATTATATGTTTACTTCTAACAGCGCTTGTTGCTTCTAGAAAGAAGGAAAAGGTCAATCAAGATATGACTCAATTGCTGGAACACTACACCAAACTCCTGATTTCTGATGCACTAAACCACACTGATAAAATGTCATTTTCAATTGGCTATTTTACAACTGTATTGAGCGATTAGTGAGCTCTCGTAGTGCTAAATGATCTCTTGCATGCTCCACAAGCCTTTACACATCCTATATGACATTTTCTCACAGAGAAGCTCCAACCATAGATCTTCCTTTCTGCTTTTCCATTTACTATCAATTTCCACTAGCTTCTTATTCCTAAGCTTCTCTTTTCGCCTGTTCTACTACTTCACGCACACTTGCAACCATTTCTCATTGTGAAGGACAAGAACTACATGTCTCCTCAAGATGGCCCTGATTATTCAAACTATAAAATGACCAAACTCCATAAGATGAGCTGAACAGTATTTTCTATGATAACTGAGAAAATCAAATCAGAAAATTCATTCTCAAAAAGAAAAATCAGAAAAGAAAATAAAGAAGTAATAAAATGAACAATTAAAACATCTTGCTGAACAATAGTGTAATATGTATCTTCAAACTTCAGTTTAACCGCTAGCATCTCAAAATATTTTCCTTTCAAGTTACGTGCATACAACAAACAAATGTAGCTAGAAATCCACATTATCCAGCTAAAATGATACATTACTTGATGTAGGTGATATTCGCTAAATTACACAGGTGAGCTTACAAGCAAGCAGCCAACAAGTTTAATTACTCAAAGACTTACAAGGATCTTTCTTATTGGAGAATTCCTTGCAACTTCTATCCTTCCCATCATTTTCTGAATTTGGGATTGAAGCTTGTGTCACTCGGGTATTATGAATGAAACAATCATCAGGTGACTGTTGAGGAGGAGCTTGTCTTCCACTAAAGACGCCCCATAGATATAATTTACCCTCAAATCCTGCAATTTTAGTGTGGTTAGTACGAACATGAGAAGAAGCTTGTCTATTCAAGACTTTGGGATGGTAAGAATTACTGTGATTCTTTTCTGGCAGATGGGCAGAGGTAAAAATCAGGAGTTCAGAATCACCAACCAACGCTTTTAATGCAATGTCGTAGTGTCTTAAATTATACAGCAGATTTTCAAAAACTTGATCATCTCTGAGACAACCATACCAGGATTAGAGGTGGTATATAACAGTAGATGCAAAGATTTATGCTAGGTTGGTTACCATACCTGCCTTTAACTGAAAAGAAATAAATGGCAATATTATCATCAATCAGTTTAGAACTTTTAAAACTCTTTGGCCACACATCACGCTTAGGAAGGAATTCAGGATAGATCACCTCCGCCATCTCTTTAGCTGCCAGCCATACTTTGGCGCACGCTTTACTTGATAGATGGGCTATAAGATTCAATCTCATCTCCGGACGGGAGATCATGAAACTACCCCTGTGAAATGAGAATAACCAGATTTCATACTAGAACTGAATAAGATCCAGTTGCAGCTTTCATCAATGCCTCCTCCAGAAGAGGTAAGAGGTAAGAGGTAGTATGGAAAAAGAATAATTAAGTAGTAATAGATTTTCAATGTACCTCCATATGGTATCAGCAATTGGTTTAGAAGCCATGTCACAATTGTGAGCTGAAAGCACTAGCCTATACCAAGTAAACTGCCTTCCTTTCAATCTGTAAGATCGTCTTTTCTCACTTCAACAAGCTTCCGTCAGACGTCAACCATCTGTACTTACACCCAAAAATGAAAAAGGTCATCCCCCCATACTCTACAATCCCGTTTGTGATTGTTAATAAGAATTAAGCTTCAATTAACCAACTACTTAACCAAACTCAAGCCAGGAGAGGTAATCTCAGTTACCATAGCAAACAAAACTCTTTAATTTTTCTTACAAAGTAACCACAGAAACTATGTCATCAGTCATACCGTCATGTTGCTTTCTAAACATGTCTACTTTATTTATATGGCATGTAAAAATAAAAGAGACACAGAGTAGCACTAAGATTGCAGCTTCAAGATCAGCTTTTTCAACAACAAAAAGCTGTTCATCGCGGGAAAAAAGCCTTTCCCCATTTAGTTTTTAAATTTGACTAATTTCAAAATGGTCTCTGCTTACACAGCTGAAAATAAAAAAGATAATTTTTTTCTTTTCCTTTTCAAAGATCAAAAGACGAAACTTTCTCCAAAAACCCAACAAAATTGATGTTTTAAGGCTCAAAAACTTAAAGAACCCAATCTGTTGAGTCAAAGATAAGCAAAAAGAAGACCTAATAAGCACATCAACTATCCTCTTCCGGATTAAAGTGAGAGATCAAAATCCAACATTCTTGAACTGTAAAGCCGATCTCAGTAACCCCCACCCCCACCACCCAAAAAGTTGAAAAAAGCAATCTTTAATCAAGATGGGTTATCCCCAAATTGCACCACTTTGCAAACTAAACACAACCCATGATCAATACATGAACTTGAGAAACAAACACAAGTAGTATCAAACTTATAAGTACTATTAACAAGAAGATAATTTTTTCACCTGAATCTGCAGAGTTAAAGGAAGAAGTAGTGATGAGCTGAGAAAATGGATGATTTTAGAGAAGTTGAAGAGTTATAGGGTTTCTGAGAAATCATTGCATAAAAAGGGAAAAGGGGTTTCGGTCATCGGTATACACCAAATTTCCCATATACACCGCTAGTGGCGAAGAAGGCCCTTTTTTTTTCTCTTTTTTTTTACATTATTTATTCCAACTTTTTTTTTTAATTAATGTATCTCCTCTTTTTTTTACGGGGAAGCAGATAGTGACTGAGCTAGAATTTTCATTAAAATGGATTAAAGTATGAAAAAATAAATGTATGAAGAAATATCATGTTTGTTAGTTGGTTGTTTGGTTAGGAAGGTAAGTTATTTAGTTATAAAACTATTATGGTGTTTGATTTGTAATTTAGAAAATTGGATAATTAAAAACTAATATACGTATAAGTTATAAAAAAATATGTATTATCTTATGTAAAATAGGTGTAATAATTATTATGTGAATAACTAATATATGCATAAAATAATACATAATTTTTTTTATAGGGTCGCTTCGTAGATGGTTAGAGTTATGTAGATATCAATAATAGATGAATTAGTTATGAAATTTTTTAGGTATTGTTTCATGAAGGGATTAATTATACCAAGTATTACTAATCCACCCTTTTATCCTACATAAATTAGATACATAGTTTTTAAATTGTAAATCAAATATCATATTATACATGAATAACGTACCTCCTAATCAACTACCAAATATAGTATTACTTGTGCAGGAGTTAATACAGGCATAACTCATATTCAAACTAACTACCAAACGACCTTTAATTCCTTTGTTACTATTACATACATAACTCTAGTCGACTAGCAAACCATTTCTAGTTTATAAAGCTAGAAATCATATTAATAAGCTTTGAGTCAGTCCTCTAGTTCTCTCACCCAAATACCCACATGCATGTAATATATATATACTAATTTAAGTGAAGGTGTTTGGTTATATTGTTAGACATAAAGTTTAAGAACAAAAGGAAGACTTTTAAAATATATGGTCTAAACTCAACAATAAATATTGGTGTGTTTATTAATCATGTAAAATGTGAATTTTAAAGTCAAATTATTAGTAGAAATAGAAAAAATGTGTCGTTCTTATGACAAACTAAAAATGAAAAAAATATCACATAAATTAAGACAGAAAAAATATATCAGCTCACTAAATCATTAAATATAAATAATCAGCGTAAAATTTAAGATTATCTTTTATTTCACATAAATATTAAGTAGGTAAATGCTTGCTCTTATTGGATGTTTACATTAAATTATATAAATTTATTATTGTTGACTGATTTAATAAGGAAATATATGCTAATTAATCACGATTAAATGTTAAAAGTATATCTATTGAGTTGATATAAATATTAGCTTGGAATAAATTCTTACTCTATTAGGTGCATAACAAGGTAAAGTTTCTTATTAAATGGAAATTAAACTTTTTGTTCCACTAGTTTATTTATACTTGAACTAATTGATTTAATGTCTCGCTAGAATGATTGTATAATGAATTATTAAGAGTTAACAATAAAAAATACATCTAAATTATGTTTTGATCCTTTAAATATAATCTTGAGCATCATCGATCTCTTAAATTTGCTAAAGTGGAGCACATTTAATCCAACTTATCTATTGGACTTTAAAACTAAGGTGAAATACAAAAAAAAAAATGACAAAAAATTGATTTGATGCACTTGAGTTGTGGTCTTTTGAAAACAATCTCTCTACTTCTATAAGATAGGTGTAAGGTTTGCGTATATTCGATCCTCTTCAGACTCACTTGTGGGATTAAATGGGTATATCGCCCCAATAAAAAATTATTCTTGTGGTAGGCCTTGTCCCTAGTAAAAAATATGGTGAAATAACCTTCCCTATTCTTTCCCCGAACCCTGCTACTAAGAAGGATGCTCACTTCTAAAATATCCTATATACGTAGGCGGGAACAGGGGAAGGGGTCAGATTTATTCCGACGGCAACAAGAGTAACAATGCAGTTTATAATGCTACAGCAATAGGTATAGTAAGCAAAATCATACGAAAAGAAAAAGGGGATATGAGATACCCACCCCGATTACAGCATTCCTTTCTATTGCGCCTAAAATCTCTATTTCTGCTAATATTTCATGTGTTTCTATTTATGGTTCTTATGGAGCTACATTGCAACAAACCTTCTTTTTCTGCAACATTGCTTCTATGATCTTAGAGTTGAGTTCAAAGTTACAGCCTTTAGTAGATAAGCCGGAGTAAACTCATGATAACTCTTAGCCCTTACTTCCGATGAATGAGAAGTCTAGTTAGGCAGTGGAAACCCTGGGAAGTAAGGAAGTTCAAGTTAGAGGGCATATGAATATGAAATAGCATATGATGAGATTTAACCATAACGGATGCGTCGGAGGAATTGTTGTTGTATGAGCTTGCTGAAATCTTTAGGAGTACCTATTGTATAGGCCTATAAGGTACAATATGTTGATCAAACTTTAAGAAGAGGAAAATAAGTGTTGCAAACATAAGTAAAAATCAGACATTTCAATGTAGTAAGTATTGACATAAATGTTGAATAGCACAAAAAATGAAACAATCCTTGTGACTTAAACACAGTTCAGCAGGTGTACAAACAACAATTCAGCTGCTAAAAGCTAGTTCTTGCTAAAATGAGTTCTGGGAGTGGACCATGGTGTATCCTCCATTCTTGCAGCCCAATTCATGATTTCTTCACAGCTCTCTGGTAAAACAGATTGAATTCTCACAGTGGGCTTCATTGGAGGTAAAATGAGAAGTGGAGCTTCATCTTTAAGCATACGGAAAACATCTCTCATTCGCGGTCTCTTCTCATGATCGGGATGCACACAAGAAAGTCCCACAATGAGCATTCTATCCATTTCATTCTTCTGAAACCGCCCCATTAGTTTAGGATCAGCAGCCTCAGTTATCCTCCCTTTCTCCCACAAGTCCCACACCCAATCAGTAATCAAACCACCACCTTCGTCGATAGGCTTTCTACCTGATGCCACTTCCAGTACCACAACACCAAAGCTATACACATCTGTTTTAACAGTTGGAATACCAGTATAGACATACTCAGGTGCAAAATATCCCATTGTTCCAGCTGGTACAGTAGCATCCCTTGTCTTAGAATTATCAAACACCTCTGCTAAACCGAAATCTCCAAGCTTGGCATTGAACTCAGCATCAAGCATTATATTGCAACTCTTCACATCTCTGTGGATTATATGATTCTCACACTCTTCATGAAGATACATAAGAGCAGATGACACACCAATAACTATGTTCAATCTTCTCTCCCATGTCAGAAACTTAGTCAAATGCGATCGCTCGTGGAGGATTTTGTCAAGGCTACCATTAGGCATGAATTCATACACTAGCACCAATTCATTCCTCTCACAACACCACCCTTGAAGCTGAATCAAATTCTTGTGTCTTAAACAGCCAACCATAGAAGCAAATTCAGTATTAAAAGGAATATGTGAAGGACCCAATCTACTCCCTTGGACAAATCTCTTAACAGCCACAGATCCCCTAGAAGGAATTTCCCCTTCATACACAACAGCAGATGCTCCTTCTCCGATTATCCTTTCATGATTAAAACACTCTGTAGCTGATTTTATTTCAGATAATGACAATCTTTGAGGCACTCTATTTCCTTGTAATCTACACATTTGCCGTTCATTGGTCTCCCCTACTCTATCGCGTTTTTTCCTTCTCAACGCAAGAACAAACACAACAGACAAAGCACAACCAACAAGTGTGACAATTGCAGCTAACCCTCCATAAGTCAATTTCAGTAAACTTTTACTACCACTACTACTACTACTATGATGAGAATCAGAAATATGCCCACCAATTTCCTCTTCAGGGAAACACATCAAACAGTTTCCTTCATCGGATTGATCCCAAGACGATGATATTGGAGACGAAATCAATCCAAACGTTCTAAATCGCCAACGACTAATGCTATAAACTGCAGACCCTTTAGCAGTGAAACCAATCCTCATAAACTCCTTCAACTGATTGGAAACATCAATTCTGGTAGAAAGAACAGGATTAGGAGGCCTAATTTGCAGTTCATACCCAATCCAAACTCTGATCATTTTCTCTGAATCTTTATACTCAATCCGACCCGCCATTTCTTTCCCACTTTTCAAATCAATCCCAGCTGAATCAACATTAGTAGAAGCCAAAGACCTAATTTCTTTAGTATCAACACCAATACGGTTATCATTGGCATTGAATTCCACAGCCAAGAAGGAATCTTCCGAGTCGGGATTCGGAAGACCCATATACCCATCAGAGATGCTCAAAGAATCAACATCAGAAGTGACCAAAAACCCCATGCCATCACCAAAAGGGCAAGAAGGGGTTGGAAGTATAGTAAAAGAGAAAGTACACAAGAAAGAAGCAGTGTTATTGGTTAAAGAATCAAGAAAACGAACTGGGTATGTGTAGAAAGCTCTTCCAATGCCAGAAATGGGAGGTGTTGATGATGATGATGAACAGTTGCGTTCTTGGGTGAGGGTGATTGATTTTGCGGTGAATGAAGCATCGCCATAAAGAGTTACATTGTTTATAGGCAAGAAAGGAGCTGAAAGGGAAGGTGAATTTATGGTGAAGATGAAGAACAGAGTGACCCTTGTGAGATTTTGCAAACAAAAACGCATCTTGATTATGAATTCTGAATATTTTCTGAGTTTGATTTCTGGGTTTTTGCAGATATTGGTTGGATCTTCGGTTACTGTTTGGATATTTGGTGGGTTTTTGCAGAATTGCAGAAGCAGAGAGCTTTGCTGTTTTGCATCAATTGAGCGGGAGACGTAGAGCGGTTAGTATAGTTACTTGGGTTAATAATTCGGGTCGGGTTGAGATTGTTAAGAGTGCAACTGGGCTGGGCTTTAAATATCTTTTGGTTACTTATTTAATTGCTAACTGTTCGATTAGAAAAAAATACGGAAAATTGTCTATCTAGTTTACAAAATGCGTACACTGATACATAAGTTTCCTTGAAAACTACTTTCACAATCTTATGTATTACATATATATATGGGTATACTCTTTTGTGAAAGATGTGTTTGGATCAAATTATACTATGACCGCGTTGCCTAAGATTTTTCCAATTAA